GATTCTCCGACAATCTTGACTAGCTTCTCGCCGGCATAACGGTCCTGGTACAGGTTGCGGATATCCCGGGAGGTCATGGTGCGGTTGAGAGGGATGGAGATTGTGTGCTGTAAAAAAAGGTTAGCAAGGTCAGGTGACATGGGTGCTGGATTCAGGAGATTAGGACAAGACTTACATGAATACCCTGGAACCAAGCAGCAACATGTGGGATGAAGGCTACCTCAAGGCCCAGTTGGCGCGAGATTTCCTTCTCGTGGATGTGGTCCGTCAAGCTGTATGGAATGAGGTTGTTCTCAAGATTCTTGACATCGTTCTTGGGGCTGGGCTTGGTGCCTGCTCCCGAGTAGCCAGAAACACCAAAAACAGTGGGTTGACCGCCAATGAATTCAAGGAGAGGTGCAATGCCAAGCTGAGCAGCTGTGGCATAGCATCCAGGGTTTGCTATCCGCCTGGCGTCTGAGAGCTCTGAGCGGTTGACGGTTTCTGGCAGTCCATAGGTCCAGGAGCTGTCGAATCGGTAGTCGGCGCTCAAATCAACAATGACAGGGTCTTTGCCGCTCTCGTTGATTGCATCAACGAATGGCTTGCAGACACCGTTAGGAAGAGCCATGACCCAGCAGTCTACCTCTCCATTCTCAGCCATCTTCTTGACATCCTCGGCTGACAGGTTCTCATAGGTAATCTGACGCTTGGTGTAGCCTTCTAGCTTCTTGCCAGCAAGCTCACGTGATGATACATGGCGCAAGTCCATGTTGGGATGCTTGTTAAACAGCTCAATCAGAGCTTGACCGGTGTAACCGCGTGCGCCAATCAATGCGACCTTGGCAGGATAGTCCCTGCTCTTGTGCTTGATTCCGTACGGAGGGTTGGGGTTGGTGGTCTCCATGGAGCGCTGTGCGGTAGTAGAGAAGCCTCGGGTTGATGCAGGTGCAAACCTGTTTTGTCTGCTTGTTAGGTTAGCGACGAAGATCAAAAGAGGCTTGCTTAGAGGAGTGAGCTGGACGATTTTTTACGTACCTCAGACCAGGTCTTGTAGAAGAACCAGCAATGGTAGTGTATGCGCGTGTCTGCTGGCCCTGCTTTAAGCTGGCTACAAAGTCGGCTGCCCTTCGGAACTGAGCGTCAAGGCTGTCCTTCAACATGCTACGGCCCTGCTTCTGGTAGTTCTCCAGTAGCGAGAAGATTTCTGAGGATTCGGCTGCTCCCCACCAGCAAAAGATTTCCTTGTCACGGCGAAGGAAACCGTCCGTCTTCTCCAGGTGCCACTTGACATAGTTCTGTGACTGGTCATCCACAATCCAGTAGAGCTTGGGGTACTTTTGCTTCATGCGCTGGAAGACCAAATCGTTTAGGTTGTTCAAAAAGGCGTCCTTGGTCATGCTGAAGTGGGATAGCTGGGCGAACTCTCCCTCGGCCGTAGGGGGGTACACAACAGCGACAACGCCCATGGAGTCATCATGGAAAACCTCGAACGGACGGTTCTTCAAGTTTTGGATGTATCGGTTGACGGCATCACTTGCTTCAGCTCCTCGGCTCTTGGTGATGCCTTCAACAAGGGCAGGGACATCCAAGTCCTCAAACTTGCTGATTTCCTTGACGCTGCCTCCGTTGCGAATGAGCGTTCCACTTCCGGTGTGGGTGAAGAGTTCCTTTCCGAGGTTGGAAGGGTGTGTAATAGCAACGCTGGAAGTGCGTGGGAGACCGTCCAGGAGCTTCTTTGCCTCTACAATCTTGAGCTTGGTGCCGTACTTGACCCACGATTGCTTCATGTAAGTATCGTACTCTCCCTCGAGGTTGATGTGAGGGATGAGCTTGGACTCGGCATTGAACAGGCCTCCCTTCTCGGAGAGGTAAATGACCTTGAGAGGCTGGAACTCGCGTGCCAAAGCTGCTGCAGCTACGTCGGCGTTGATGTTGAGGATCTGGCCATCAATTGTCTCGCCCATGGAGCAGAGAATGGGGAGCTCCTTGTTCTCGAGAGCGTCCATGATCTGCCTCCTGTTGACATTGGTGATGTTGCCAACATACTTCCATTTGTCCTTGTCCAGGTAGTCGGCCTGCAGCGCACCAGCGGTGATGGGGCGTGCAGGGACACCCCAATCACGCTTGAGGGTCATGACCAAGTCCATGTTTGCCTCCAAGAAGAGCTTGCGGGCAATACCCAGCGTCTTCTTGTCCGTGACGCGAATGCCATCAATAAAGTCCGGCTCGACACCTCCCTCGAGCAGCAACTGGTTCATCTGGGGGCCAGCGCCATGGACGATGATGGGATACAGGCCAATTGCGTGGAGCTGCTGGAGGGCGAAGCAAAGCTCTTCAAGGTGGTCGGTGAGAATAGCGCCTCCGACTTTGACTACGGCGAATTGGTGTGGTGAGACGGAGCGGAACTGGCCCAAGTACTGGTCGACTTCGCGGCGCGAGCTGGAGCTGGCCAGCAGGTTGAGGAAGGCGGCATAGATGGACGAGTTGCGCCCATCCTTGGAGGACGTGTAGAGGCGGGCGGGCGTTGTGGTCGCGACGAGGGCTCGCGGGAGGGCTCGCCGGGCTTGGGGTGCGAGGACGCGGTAGGAGGATCGTGCCGCTACACGGCCAGCTCGTACAATGCTCTGCATGGTGATTGTGAGTGCTCGCAAGAAGCAGAGGCTACCCAGGCCCAAGCCGACGACTCAATCAGACACAAATTGACTACCGTGACTGGACGGTGGGGACTGGAGGGAGCGGGACCCAGGCCGATGTGTGATATGACGCCGAAGCAACAAAATTCGCTCCGCCCGCCGCCGTTATCGCTTCTTCCCCAGACATCTGGGCCAGCGAGCACTTTTTCTGGCTCCAGGGGCGTGCGTAATGGCCATTGGTCATCCAGCATCGCCCGCATGCAGCCCACACACCCTCGCGCGCCCGCATTGCACTGCACGGCGCTGCGCTGCACTGGGGGGACGGGGGAGGAGGGGGCACCTTGTTCTGTCACTCTTCGGCCGCAAGGCTAGCTCTAACGCTGACATGGGCCTTGCGTGCTGTTTCTGGCTTTCTCACAATCACCGTCACAAAAGTCACGCACATTTCGATACACTTGCATGCATGTACATATAACAAGAAAACTCCATTTGCTCGTCTGGCCATCATGCGTGGAACTAGCCTCATCAGACTTCGTAGCAGGAGCGGCCCGTTCCATGCAAATCGTGCTTTACAGGATTGCGGCACAGCCGTGCGAGTGCAAACAAAGACAAGAAAGAAATTCGACCCATCGCTCCCTATTCGCCTAAAGATAGATCCTACAGAGACGGATGTCGTTGATCATGGTGCAGCTCGTAGCCACTCGCCCCCTTCACCAGCGGCTCTCCCCCTACAGACTCGCTTCATTTCGTGCCATTATTAATGTGTGTAATTCGTGGTATCTCATATAGGGAGGGTTTATTTCTTTTGCGTAGCTACGACTGTGGGGTGTGTTAGTACTCGGCGACCAAACAAACGGGGGGCTTCCAGGGCAAGCTTACCCGAAGGGACAATGATGACAATCAGCAGGATGATGATGCCGACAATGAGGCACATGCGCATCTTCATGTCCTTCCACCACATCTGCTTGCGCACGCGGTTGGCGCCCCTTCGGAAGCCTTGGGCAGAGACAGCAAGGTTGTCTGTCTTGTCCTGCAGCGAGTCTAGGCGAGCTCCACGCTCAGAGACCTTGTTGATGTTGTCGCGCATGATGCCGACGGTGCTGTCGATTTCCTGGACTGCGAGTCAGCGGATCATGTCGCATACACAAGTTTCTGCCAGTTGAAGCTGCGCAGCTCGCACATGCGCACGGCGGCCCAGGTGCTGCCCAAGGGCGCGGACCAGCGGAGTCGCTATCGCAACCGTCTCGAAACAGGCTACGTTGTGTCGAGTGCTCTTGCGGACATGCCGGTGCAAGGCATCGCTGAGTCGCTCTGTTCTGCAGGGTGGGAGGGTGACGACGTACAGCTTGAAGTGCCGCAGTGCGGTGATTACCATTCTGGTTGTCTGGCTGGCCGGGAATGTAGGGATCATATGGAGGTTCTTCACGGTTGGACATGTTTGCAGATGAGATGCTGTAGAGAAGCTGGGTAGCGTGCGACAGTGGCGGGTGGTGCGGATATGGAGGGTGGGTGGTGTCGGGAGGGTGTGAGTGAAGAGAGAAGGTGGTGTGGTAGTCGAGAGAACCAAGACTCAAGAGCCCGCTCAGCCCGGATGAACGAGCGTAATGTGTCAGCTACCGTTTGAGCACTGAGGCGGAGGGATGCGTGAAACTTGGCGCAACAAGACCAAATTCGGAGACAGCGGATATTCGAGCGGATATGGGATGTTATTGCAACAAGCTGACAGGCACTACGGACGATTTTACCTTGGTGACGGCATTCCCAGCGTGATGCAACTGACGGCAAGCACAACGGCGGCTCCAGTCTGCTTCGGCCCGCTGCGCCACAATTCACGTGACCCGTTGTGGTGTAGAGTAGAGTACGCTTCGTCCTGTGGCTGGGGTCGCCACCAGCCGCTCGTCTGCGTCAGCGCCCAAGCATGCGACACACCAGACCAGCACAAAGACGACGACAACAATCTATCGCAGTTCCCCTGTGTACTTACGTACCTCTACTTGGATACACGCTATGTCAGCACGCCTCGCGGCACTTCACTTCCAGACGCTGCCCTTGTTGCCGCTGTTACGTCGCAAAGCTGACGGGGCTGCTGTACGCACCCGCCCCCCATGCCTCAGCCGCAGGGAATACGACATTTCTTCGCGCAAGCAGGCGGGCAGTGGTTCTGGACTGCTGGGCGGCCATGACGAGGCCATTTTCTTTCTTTGTTTTCTAAATGCAGCGCACTAAACGCAGGTTGCGCCGAGAAAGCTTGCGAAGCTTCTTGATCCCGTTAGGCGTTCATCAGCATAACCACATCGCTCAAGTGTTTGCATCGCGTGTGCCTGAGCATGGCTTCGAGACGCTCTTTGCAGCAGGACAGCGGACGGGGTGCTGGTGGCCCGCCTATCAACTGGGCCTGGTGGAGCAAGGCGAGGGGGCGCCAAAGGGCAGAAACAGGCGCCAGAGGGGCCAGAGGAGCAGACGAGGGCCAGTGGGCCGGCGAGCTGCCCTGATCGCCAAGACGCGTGTACTAGCCCATATCTCCGGCCGCCGCCGCTGCGCCTCTGCCTTGTCGCTGCTCTCCTGCTCAGGAGTTCTGTCTTCGCAATCACTGCCTGCCCTCTGCTGCTGATCTTGCGCCATCTCCCGTTTCTTTCCTGCTACCCTCAACACGCTCGCTGCACCGCCCCGTCTCGCATCCCCAGGCGCCACTCTCCGTCCGCTCTCAACGCTCTGCGCTTGCTCTGCTCTCCCTGAATCCGTCGCTCGTTGCATCCTCGACACCAGCCACGCCCTTCTGCCATACCCCACGTTCCACCACCTTGGCCATCTTGGCCGTATTGGCACCACTGCGCATCGCTTGCCCCTCAAGCCTGGCGCTTGATCTTCTTCGCTTTTGTCCGCTAGACGACTGCGACTCCAAGTCGCATTGCCCTCCGACCACTTAATATGAAGCTGACGTCTGCGCTCGGCGCCATTGGCGCCTCGGGTCTATTGCTCTCCGGCGTAGGAGCAGTCGACCTCGACATCAACTCGCCAGGTGGGACTGCCTGCCTCATGTCTCCTACCACCTCACACTGACATCTGTAGACTCCATCAAGCAGGCTGCCAAGGCCCTTGCTATAAACCTCCGGTCTTACTACACTGGTGACCGGCCAGGCGATGTCCCTGGTAATCTTCCAGACCCTTACTACTGGTGGGAGTGTGGTGCCATGTTCAACGCCTTCATTGATTACTGGTACTATACTGGCGATGACACATACAATACCATCACCACGCAAGCTTTGCAGCACCAGATGGGAGATGACGGCACTTTCATGCCTTCAAATCAGTCCAAGACGCTTGGAAACGACGATCAAGCCTTTTGGGGAATGGCCGCTCTGTCTGCAGCAGAGAACAAGCTTCCTGATCTCCCAGACAACCAGCCCTCTTGGCTGTCTCTAGCACAGGCCGTCTTCAACACCCAGTATAGGCGCTGGGAGACGACTACGTGCGGCGGAGGTCTGCGATGGCAAATCTACACCTTCAACAACGGTTACAACTACAAGAACACCATTTCTAACGGCTGCTTCTTCAACATTGCTGCAAGACTCTACAAATACCTCGGCAACGACACATATGCCGATTGGGCTGAGAAAGCCTGGGACTGGGAGCATACCATTGGACTCATGAGCGACGATTACCATTTCTACGATGGAACCGACGACACCCAGAACTGTACTTCCATCAACCATATCCAGTGGACCTACAATGCTGGAATACATATGGCAGGTGCTGCCGCCATGTGGAACGTGGTAAGCATCAGATAAACATTTGTTGTCCATGATCACGTGCTAACAACGAACAGACTCAAAATGACAAATGGCGTGGCCGTGTTCAGGGTGTAATGGATGGAATTAACGTCTTCTTCAAGAACAACGTCATGACTGAGGTTGCATGTGAGAACAACGGCAAGTGTGACGTCGACCAGCGTTCCTTCAAAGCCTATCTCTCTCGCTTCATCGCATATACTGCTGCCGTCGCCCCTTGGACTCGTGATCAACTCAATCCTCTCATTCAGGCCTCTGCCCAAGCTGCTGCCAAGCAGTGCAACGGAGGTCCCAACCAGACATCATGTGGTCTTCGATGGATCGACGGAGGAGTCAACGACGGTAGCTTCGGTGTTGGCGAGCAAATGTCCGCCATGGAGATCATTCAGTCATTGCTGTACACTACCAAGCCCGGTCCTGTGACCTTGGACAAGGGCGGTATCTCCAAGAGCAACCCCAACGCCGGTGACACTTCGACCGATACGCCTATTACATTCAATGTCGTCACTACTGGTGACAAGGCGGGCGCTAGCATTTTGACCATTTTGGTCTTAGTTTCGATTCTCGTTGGCGCTTGGTGGATGGTGTCATAGATTTGCATGCGTATCCAACTTGTATATCAGTTATTTGGGCTATGCATCATCATGCTAGAGTATGTTTTTTTTTCTCGGAAACTGTACATTGTTTGGGTAATTTTCACCGTGCTTTTCTTCAAAGATGTATTCGGATGTTTTGATCAGCGACTCGGGTTACTCAATAGTATAATAAACACAAAATTGTTCAAAATTGAAATTCGCCGGTGGAGTAGGCTTCATTTGCACATGTCTTACCCAAACAGGCAATGGCAGTGAAGCACTAGTGTTCGCTTATCTTATCCTGATCCCTGCACAAAAGTTACAACCCCACAGTCGTTTCTTTGCAGTTTGGCCTGGCAAAGACGTCAATACACTATACACCCAAAATGGCCGAACAAGCTACAGAGGAAGATATTCTGCTAGCCAAGCGCATCATTTCTGCGGCCGAGCGACACGATGTGCCGGCGTTGAACATTCTGCTCAAGGACGGTTCCGCAAACGTCCAGGACCCCACGGCAACAGTAGCAACATCACCGCTTCACGCAGCAATTGCCTCTTGCGGAAAGGCCGAAGAAGGAAAGGAGGCGAGCGAAGAGGCGATTCAAACCGTGGAAACACTCCTCCAAAATGGCGCCATCTGGAACGATCTCAACAAGGAAGATGAAACTCCAGGCTGCATCGCACTCCGTCTTGGCCAGAAAAGGATCTACGACATGATGGTCGAAGCCGGTGTCCGCGCTGAGATTCTCTTCGCCCGAATGGAAGCCTTGGGCATGGGCGAACCCGCCGAAGAAGTCGAAGAAGAGGCCGAGATCCTCGAGGAGCAACCCGCCGCCAAGAAACAAAAGATATCCACGGAAGATGCCAAACCCGTCGAGCAACCCACTTCAGAAAAGGTCCTCGATGACGTCTCCCTAGACAATCACGCCTACCTCAAGAGCCAACTCCGCTACAAATCTGGTATTCTCCTCGACGAAAGCGACAATGCCGTCATGATGGACTGGGAAACGCAAATCATGCAGCGCCACGCCGAGACTCTAATCCCCAAGCCAGGCCTTCGCACAATGGTAAGAAATACATGTACGAAATGTATGTGAGACATGTACTAACTTCGTACCTACAAAAAGAATGTTGGTCACGGTATGGGTATAGTAGACACAGCAATCTTAACGCATGATCCCGCTGAGCACCACATCATTGAAGCCCATCCGCAGGTACACCAGCGGCTTCGCGAGAAGGGCTGGTACGACAAGCCTAATGTCAAGATTCACGAGGGAAGGTGGCAAGATATTCTGCCCAAGCTTATTGAGCAGGGTGTTGTGTTGGATGCCATTTACTATGATACTTTTGCAGAGGATTACAAGGCGCTCAAGGAGTTCTTCTCCGAGTACGTGGTTGCGTTGCTAGCCAAGGATGGAAAGTTCGGGTGGTATAATGGGCTTGGAGCTGATAGACAGATTTGCTACGATGTTTATACCAAGGTATGTGTGCAAATGGGTGGTTTTGGGGAAAGATGACTAACATGGTACGGCAGGTTGCGGAAATGGATCTGTATGAGGCGGGCTTCGATACAGAGTGGGAGGACATCAATGTTCCGGAGGGATTGCATGGAAGTGATCAATGGGAGGGAACCAGGAGGCCGTACTGGACCATTGATGTGTACAGATTGCCTGTGAATACGTTTGTCAAGTAAAACAAACATTTACACGACTTCCAACGCTGGAGAGCATCTTGCTCGGCCTTGATATGCTTGTACGTGTTTATGAGATGGTTGCCAAGTCCAAAGGTTATGCTTGGGTTGGATTTGTATCTGGATAGGCTGCCAAATGGTGTGCCATCGGGACCTCTCTGCTGACGTGTTGGAGAGTCAGGTGCAACGACCCTTCCTGGTTGAGCGCCTGGGTGTCTCTGTTCGGCTCGAGACTGATGGTGAGATCTCGAGGCTTCCATTTTGTCACGATGTTGGGGATGGGGTGTTTGGGCACTGCTCTTTTTCATTTCCTGCCATGGGGCTTGATACCTACTTGCGCCACTTTCTGGGCGATCTCTTTTCCTGCTTATGTAATGCTCCTCGTTGGAACCATACTGATGCCTACTGTGTGAGCTATCACGATGTAGTTCATGGTCTCTGCCGCGCGATCGGTTGCGATGCTGACGCTGATGCCCCTCTCTTGACCCATCAGTCCCCTCATAGGGCGCATGGCTATGGTGTTGGTGTTTTCTATCTCTCGGGCTGTTATCCATACTGTATCTCTTCCTGCGTCCCCTTTGCTTCTTCTGTTCGCCTTTTCGCCTTTCCTTCTCCCCTTCCTTCTTGTAACTGCGATACAGTTTCACACCCTCACTCACAGCTTCAATAACGATCTGGGATGTACTTTTGTCGTGACACTTAGAAATGATGTCTTCGACTCCACTTTGCATGGTCTTGCGAAATTGGTCGTCGTCGGGCATTGGAGGTCCTTGGTGTAGTTGAAAAAAGAACATATTAGGTGGTTTGAATGTGAATGCTACGATACGTTTGGCAGACGTGAAAGATATTCTGTGAATGAAGTCACGGTGAAATCGTTGGTAGCCAACAGGATTTTGTTGTACGTGCTACAGGCTGGCGATATGAAGACGTGCTAGACTACAAACGCAATTCCGAGGTCACAAACGGTTGATTCAAACCGATGTCGCAACAACAACTCGATCGGCTGACCGTATTGATCCCGATTGAATTGCCTTGTATGTGGATGTGTGTTGCTGCCATTGGCAACTGGTCGTAGTTGAACGACTGTTAGAGGGGAAACGTTTGATGAATCAAAATAGATAGCTTGGATGAAGCCATATGACGAAAGCAATCGGGTACGAATGTGAAAGAATCTTGGACCGTCAATTTGCTGTTGCATCTCATTTCCTAGAGTACGATTATATATTTCGTAAAGCCGTGTAGATGCGACAGGGCGAGCAGCAAAATGTCTCCGTGAAGCATCATATTTCCCAATCCAATTATGCTTTCAGTCCCGTCTCACAGATTTTGTATATTCCCCAAGCATAAGTCATAGAACGCCATATGTTGCACGGTACGGCCATGCAAGTTTCCCTCCTAGAATCTCCAATTATTACCGTCCTTTATCATGATATCCGTTCTGTTTCCCTGCATTTGAATCTTACTCCTTCTTCTTCACCTCGCCCTTTGCCACTTTGACGCCTTTGCCACGGAAGTCGTTCGCGTCTGGCGCATCACTTTTCCCCAAGCCTAGTTCCTCGGCCTCTCTATCCAGTTGTTGTTTCTGCTTCTTGGCGGCTGCATTGAGCAGATATGGTCGAATAAGGAGGTATCCTCCTACGATGGCGACGATGCGAACCCAGCGCTGGGCAGTCATTTCCTCAAACGACTTGATTGAGTTGTTTACAAGCCTATTCTTCCATTCGCCGACATTGTCGAGTATGTAGTCCATGGTTGGTGTGTTTGGGGATGTGTTTAGGAGCGACGTGTGCGCTGGATTATGCTTTGCGAAAAAAAAGGCTTGTTACTGGTCGCTGTACTGTGGGCTGATGCAGGCGCAGACAAGTAGATGCGTTGAGAAGATGGCTGAAAGGCGTGAGGATTTCAAGTAGAGAGAAATTCGATCAATGGACAAGTTGCGCGCGATAAATCACTCAAAACGTGGACCAGATGGCATCCATGGGCGGTGACATGGTTTCTGCCACCCAGGCCCCACCAGAACCATGGACGCGTCGCGTCTGCCCGTCGTATTGCCAGAGTATCGTGACGGCTCCACACCCACATTTGCAGCAGATGGCGTCCAACGATGCCGCAGCAGAGCGCGAGGAGGTCAGAGACAGCCCGATAGATCTATACGCAATTCATGTATTAACAAACTTGTAGCGGCTCAAGTCCGCTCTCTGGTACGCAATCGGCCAATTTGTTGACGACAAGTCTTTGGAAAGCGATCTGAATGCCACACCGCAATTCATCGGTGCCTTGACTGAACTGGTCTATACTCAGATTGGTATGCTCTGATACTTTGTCTCTCCAAATCATATATCAAAGAGTTGCTAATGTACTCCTAGCAAATACAGCCCGGGATCTCGAAGTGTTCTCGAAGCATGCCGGACGCAAAACAATAAATCCAGACGATGTCATCCTCCTCGGTAGACGTAATGAGCAGCTGCAAGCCATGCTGGAGAAGGAGCTGGAAGAAATCAGGGCTGCTGAAGGAAGACGAGCAGACGGACAACCAGTTGCTCGCGCACAACCAGCTGCTGCAGGAAAGAAGCGAGGAAGACCTGCCAGCACGGGAAAGGGTAAAGCAAAAGCTTGATCAGGCTTGAAGATCATGACCGCATCTTGTGTACGTTTCTTAGGCGTTGAGGAGTTATGCTATGATACCCGCAAATGTAATTTCGACAACTTGCATGATGCACCGGTTGTCCCCTGTAGCTCTGCTGAATTGTGAAAAGCGACTGACAAACTGATTTTTTGATCCAGTTACCATGCGAGTGCAACATTGTGGTCTAAAAGCCAATAGGATGGAAATCTACACTCTGCAGCCGTGGTCGACGCCGGCAAGCCAATCGTTTACGACCGAAGTTAGACTTTCTAAACTGTCAGCTCCCACATCTCTTCACCATCACCCCGCCACAGAGGCCGAGTCTCGTGCAGACATGGAAAAAACTCAAACAACTCTGTCTTTGCCACGTCGCGATGTTGTGTTCAGCCGTAAGCTTAGCGTGCTTTGATCCTAATCATGCATACAAAGGTGGATGATTTCCGACTTACAGTGCCAAATTCCTGATCATTAACTCGGGAAGCCGGTTCTTTCTTCGAGCATATTTTTCACTTCCTTTTTTCTCTGCCATCGTTTAGCTCATTTATTTTGCCTGCCCGCACAAATAATGAAGTACTATGATTATGGCCTTCATCGATTTCGAGAACATGCCATTACCTGCCCCATCATACAGCTCGACCTTTGACTCGCAAGATATTTCGGATATACCTCGGCACACGAGTTTTACTGCAGTGCCTAATAACGGCGTTCCATATCATCAATCTGCCAAATATGAACCATCGGCTTCAACATTTTAACTATGGCAAAAGCGGCAGCCAAAAGATGGAGGATCTCAAATCAAGCCCGATTACTATCCCTCCACGTGTGGCGGAAAACCATGTGTGACGGTATGCCGGCCACACTTCCCACCACAACAAACTCAACCACAGCCGAGAAGCCTGCAGGATCTCGGAATAGAGACCTAGAGTATAGTAGACAGACATGCAATCCAAGGAGTTCCAAATATCATTCTATTCTATCTAAGTTGCCCTCGTGCCTAGCAATACCCCCACGCCATGGAGGTAAAGGAAGCCGCAATCCGCTCTCGTAGAACTCATGAGTGTAGCACCCCCTACACCCGTTCATTGAGAGCTTAAGGAGGTAATGTATGAAGCCCGGGAGAAAACCTCAAACCAGCATCTAGAAGATATAATAAATAGTATGAGGAGGCGATGTGAGGCTGTAATTGCTGCTGAGGGCGGCCCGACTCCATATTGATAATCAAACCATCCCATCTTTGGCTAGTAGCTGGATAGAACGGCAAAGGTTACTGGGCACCCCCATACGAATTATTTGGCACCCTCACAAGACAGGGATTTACATTGGTATAGCGCTAACTGTATTATTCTATCTAGTGCTGTAATTCAGGCCCCTTTCTCCCTTTTTAACCTCTCCACCTCTCTCTTTCTCTATCTCCTTTTACTTCTCTTTTTACTTTTGTTTAAGAGATAAGACTTAAGTAAAAAGAGATAAAAAGAAGAAGAAGGAGAGAGAGAAGAACAGGAAAAGAAAGAGATGAAAGAAGAGGAAAGAAGAGATAGAAGAGGAGGTAGGAGGGAAGTAGAGAGAGCTGTATCCTCTCTTTCTTCTCTCTTTTTTTCTCTTACTAATATGAAATAATATAAATTTCGTAAGAGTGAACGCTAGGCAGGGGGGGGGGCAACTTATAGGGGTGCCAAATAACTCGTATGGGGGTGCCCAGTAACCTTTGCCTGCCTAAAAGGTGAAACCCCGGGGACGCGAGACCCTGTCCGCTCTATCAGCCGCGACTCCACCTCCATCAGTTCTCAGCCTAGCCTAAGATATGAACATGCAGCTCCTCCAATGCGTGCACAAGCGACCATGTTAGTCCTAGCCCTGCGAGGACCTCGTCGATCCGTTTTATAAGCGGCTTGCTCGCCTGCCTGTCTGCATTGCTAGAATACCTTCCTGCCCCCGTGATACGCGCCCATACCTACCCAACACACCCAAATTGTGTACGTACGGATGATTCGAAATGTCCGGTGCCGAAGCCATTACTGCCATCCAGTTGATCGACGCCTGCATCGGCATCGCTACTACGATCATCGAAATTGGGCGTGCCGTTCACGATGCTCAAGGATTACCACCAAAGCTTCGAGACCTGCTCGAAAAGCTGCCAGCAATCCAAGAACTGTTGGAAAGTGCGCAGGAGAGCTGCGATGAAGGGAGAATCACAGAGGATGCTAGCAAGAGCGCACAGCCGATTTTGAAACAGTGCAAGGAGGCTTTAGCTGAACTAAGAGACATATTCAGGAAAGCGTGCCCAAAAGACGGGGAGAATCGTACCAAGCGCGTCTGGAGAGGCACAAAGACTGTCTTCTTCGGCCGAGATAGCCAGGCACAGAGGCTTCTGGTGACCATTCAAGACAACTTGAGACTGTTGGAACAGAAGGAGATCTATGTTATTGGCGACAAGCTGGACGCACTGGAGCAAGTTACGGAAGCACTAGCGAATGAGGACGGCAAGTATACACATACTGGAGCGGGCAATATCATTGCCAATGAAGGCGGCAGCCCTACGAATTATGTAGTTGGTGGAAGCAACAATCGGCAGGTCAACAATCCTAGAGTATACAATGAGGGCCCTTCTAGTACGTAATTTCGCCCTCGTGTGGTCACACCGATTTCTCAATCGAGGCAATTTCTTCTTCACTAGCATCCGTTCACAGCGTGCCTAAGTCGACTTGGATGAATCTGTACTGACCATGCTGGTGTTAGCATATAATTACACTTATCTACCACCAGGTAAACTCGGCCTTGAATGCTATTGAAGTACGTGCGCTTGTTTGTTAGCCGCTGACGACAGCGCGACGCTAGAACGACCCGAGACAGCGCCTGAACCGTCGGTCAGCGTCCCGTTTCCACGCGACCCAGACTTCGTCGACCGCGGAACGCTGCTTGATCAGATTAGCAAACGATGCGCAGCGCCAGCATCGCGGGTAGCGCTGGTGGGCCTCGGCGGCGTGGGGTAAGCCCAGGGAAGGAACATTAGGTTGGTGCTCGTACCTAATATACGACACAGGAAGTCGCAGCTAGCCATCGAGCACTGCTACCGCACCGCCGAACAGTCGCTGGACACGTGGGTGTTCTGGGCGCATGCGAGCAACACCGGGCGACTCGAGCAGAGCTTCCGGGAGATCGCCGACCAGGTCAGGGCTCGCGGCCGCAAGGACCCGCAAGCAGACGTGTTTAAGCTAGTGTACGACTGGCTGCGCGATGCGAAGAACGGACGGTGGCTATTAGTACTCGACAATGCAGATGATGCTGCTACAGTCTCTCCGACAGAGGGCAGCAGTGGTCTCCAGCAGCATCTATCGAGGTATCTGCCTTTCAGCAGGCACGGCACCGTCCTTGTGACGAGTCGGACAAAGCACGCAGCGAAGCAGATTGTGGAGGACAGTGACATTATACTAATCGAGCCAATGCACGATGCAGCTGCATATGCTCTGCTCCGTAAAAAGCTAAGGGACATAGACGATAAAGACGAAAATATCGCTACGCTAGCTATAATGCTCGATCGTATGCCGCTTGCTCTCGTGCAGGCTGCAGCATATATTCGAGAGCGAGCACCACGGTGCTCAGTGCGGCAGTACCTCGAGGAGTACCGGCAGAGCGATCGCAGAAAGACGAGTCTGCTAAACCGGGAGGCGGATCACCTTCGCCGAGATAAAGCAGCCAGCAACTCTGTCTTAGTAACGTGGCAGATCTCATTCGAACACATACAGAGCACAAGACAGTCAGCAGCAGGCCTGCTGTCGCTGATGAGCTTCTTTGACCGACAGGGGATCCAGGAAGCTCTACTCCACCAACAGAGCAGCATAGCAGACGACGGATTTGAAGAAGACGTGCTAGTCCTGCGAGACTACTCGCTTATCACGGTGACTAGAGATGCAGACACATTTGAGATGCATAGCCTAGTGCAGCTAGCGACGCGCACATGGCTCGAAAACGAAGGGCAGTTGGCCAAGTGGAGGGAGCAATTTATCTCTAGCCTGTGTGCAGCGCTGCCGACTGGAGAGTACGAAAACTGGGAGAAGTGCCAAGCGCTATTTCCACACGCACGAGCGGCACTAGCACAGAGGCCTGAGAGTAAAGAGTCACGAAAGGAGTGGGCGTTGTTGCTATATAGGGCGGCATGGTACGCGTTGCGACGGGGGAGAGCAGGTGAGGCAGAGGAGATGGCGACGATGTCGATGTCGGTTAGGAGTGAAGAGCTTGGGGAAGAAGATGTGAGAACGGTAGAGAGCATGGGGATGGTGGGACTAGCTAGACTGCTTGGAGGTAAGCACAAAGAGGCAGAGGCGATACTTAGGCAGACGCTAGCCCGGATGGAAAAGATGTTCGGGTATGGACATCGACACACGCTGTCGAGCATGAACAACTTGGCGACAGTGCAAGCTAGCCAGGGCAAGTATAAAGAGGCAGAGGTGATGCATAGGCAGACGCTGGCGTTAATGGAGAAGGTGGAGCATCCAGACACGCTATCATGCATGAGCAACTTGGCACACGCACTAGAAAACCTGGACAGGTACGAGGAGGCAGAGGTGATATATCAACAGACGCTGGCGCGGAGCGAGGAGGTATTCGGGCGTGAGCATCCAGAAACGCTAATGAGTATGCACAACTTGGCACACGTACTAGACAACCTGGGGAGGTACAAGGAGGCAGAGACGATAGACCAGCAGGCGCTGGCGTTAATGGAGAAGGTGCTTGGGCATGAGCATCCATACACGTTAGTAAGCATGCAAACCTTAGCAAACGTGCTGAGCAGCCAGGGCAAGTACGAGGAGGCAGAGGTGATAAACCGACAGGCGCTGGCGCGGAGAGAGAAGCTGATGGGGCATGAGCATCCAGCAACGCTGATGAATATGCAAAGCTTAGCACACGTACTAGATAGGCAGGGCAAGTACGAGGAGGCAGAGGCGATGAATCGACAGGCGCTGGCGCGGAAGGAGAAGGTGCTTGGACATGAGCATCCATACACGATAATAACTATGGGCAACCTAGTAGGAGTACTAGATAGGCAGGGCAAGTACGAGGAGGCAGAGGTGATGAATCGACAGACGCTGGCGCGGAGGGAAAAGGTGCTTGGGCATGAGCATCCAGACACGCTAATGAGTATGCAAAGCTTAGTACTACTACTAGCTAGGCAGAGCAAGTATGCAGAGGCAGAGGCGATAAATCGACAGACGCTGGCGCGGAGAGAGAAGGTCCTCGGGCATGAGCACCTATCCACGCTGACGAGCGTATACTGCCTTGCCAATCTTCTTACACATCAGCGTTGCTACAACGAAGCCCTTGCTCTATACAAGAGAGCATGCACTGGGTACGAAGCTACGCTTGGGAAGGCTCACTCAACCACGCATGCGTGTCACCAGCATTACGCTGACGCGCTTGCATCTCACAAGCAGCACCAGCTTGCTGTCCCTCCCATAACTCCGGATAGCAGCGCACGTGCATACGCAGGCAAGCAGTCAAAGCTGGTACGAGGGCTAGCAAAGATAGGCATTAGAAGCTCAAAGTCTGTGGGGTAGAGATGTCAGATTCTGCAATTATATGTGTCAATTACTCTAAGCTAATTTCAATATTGCTACAGGAGTACATGTAACCTCCTACCTCTACTACTCATCATTCACTCTTAAAAACAGGCGTGCGTGGATTCCAGTGCGGTGTCTAAGCATGCATTCGATCACGTTGGACCAAACTAGATAACGAGCGAGTTATGCTTAGTACTAGCCTTACTACTACTAGCCGCTAGCTAGGTGACTCTGTCTAAGCTACGCTCGCGGGACAAAGGCCTAGCATCTGTACTGATAGAATACCACCAAGTCTCTTACAGTATTTTTGTACGACTTCCAGGTAGCTTGACGGACTTTTGGAAACATACGTTAAGCCTTTGGCGCGTCCGAGGCTGCCCGAGGCGGGATACTTAGTACTCGAATCCCAATCATCCGCAATTTGCAAAACTCAACTCCACCGGCATTTCCAGCGGCACTTCCTCCACAACGCAGCCGCATACCCGCAAAACGTGTTTCGATTCCTTGGGTACTCTTTGTAATCTTCTTCCTCACTACCATGTGGTACACATCCATGCTATTTGGCGCACGGTTCCTATCAATTGTCCGACCAGTCCCATCGAGCTTTGCCGCACAGGAGATCACTGTTTATATTCATGGAGAATTAGTGCAGGGGAAGGTGTCAGTATCCACAATACTCTTTGCCGCCCTGACAAGCACCACAGCATCTATTGCCCAGACGCCAAGTCCAACAAATCCTTTGCCTAGTAGTGGGAACGATGGATTACCTGATGTAGGTAATGAGCTTTGCAGGATATCGTCAGATGTGGGGAGAACTGTTGCCTCGGCGCCTACAGGCTTCGTCACAATCATGAGAGGGATACCTTGAGCAAGACATTTTTGTTCGAAACTGCCCCACTATAGGCGCCAGCACGACGCGTCATGGACTGCGGCCTCATCAAAGGATCCAAAAAGTAAAATATGCTATTCCACTGAAGAGAGTAATGGGCGACAATGACATTGGAGTCATGCACTTCTATCTTTTTATTCTATTATCTTCAATCCCCGTTACCAGACCTTTCTTTCATTTCCGATGCCCTTGGCGGGAATTCGCTGTCTATTTCTTCCGTTCAGTCCCAGTTTCTAGAATAAATTGGACGTGGAGCGGCTGTCGAGCCAGATTCTGCATATTGATGGCGAGTCGCTACAGGAGCTTTCGTTTTGAAACAAGCACGAAACAGGTCGGCTAGCCCGTTCTGGCAGACTTGGAAACACTCGCTTCTCCACTATCATGAACATTCAATCTCGGATAGTACGTGTTGCATAATGGCGCACTACAACTTTACCACATGGAGTAAATTCATTGCTTATTCTAGACAAGCCGCTGGCGTGCCGTGACTTCGTTTCTGTCAAAGCAATGTCGTTCCCGCACCCAGTGGCCGGGATAGCGCGAACTGTTGCCGCGAAGGATCCATGGCGGCTCGCCGTAGTCTTCGGAGATATACTATCCTGTGCAGGCGCGTAATTGAAGTAAAGGATCAGCGTTTGGACATACATAAAAGCGCTGGACAGTCGTCCCTCATCGATCTTTTCCATCATTCCAACGGGCCAGTCCTTTCTTTGAACACATTCACTAAGTTCCTTTCTACCACATTCATTCTTTACCTTACATTCCATCTTTGTGATCAGGCATCACCATCACACATTTGAAATCCAAAAACTGTACATAACACTTATCCAACACACGTCACCATGTTCACCAAGGCCGTCTTCACGAGCGCTCTTCTTTCCGCCGTCTCGGCTCACCAGAACCTCCACCAACTTTGGGTCAACGATGTCACGCCCGGATACCAGGTCGGCATCCGGATGCCACCCTCCAACAGCCCCGTAGTTGATTTGACGAGCAACGACATGGCCTGCAACGTTGGCGGCTCCAAGGTCCCATCCGGCGTCAAGACAATCGAGGCCAACGAGGGTGACAAGATCAAGGTCCAGTGGGATAACTCTGGACACCCGGGACCGATCACGCACATGCTTTATGGTCCCGTCGATGATGCTTCGCAAGCCACTGGTATCGGTGCTGGATGGTTCAAGATTGACGAGATGGACTTTGTCGATGGAAAGTGGGCTTCTGAGATCATGCAAGCAGCCAACATGACGCATGAATTCCCTCTTCCCACTGGCCTTGCCAGCGGCGAGTACCTACTCCGTTCAGAGATGCTGGCACTCCACTCTTCTCAGACAAAGGGTGGCGCGCAGTAAGTTGATCTTCTTCTCACTTATCATGTATAAGCTAACGTGACAAAGATTCTATATTGGCTGCATGCAACTGAAGATCAAGGGCACTGGCAGCAAGGGCTCATGCACACCTACCATCTCGCTTCCCGGCGCCTACAAGGCTGACGATGCCGACATCTACATCCCCAACTACTATAACGGATACGTTGCTACCAACTACAAGGCTCCCGGTGGTGCGGTTGCTACTTGCGGTGGTGCTGGTGGCGCTGCTCCCGTTGATACTCCCGCCTCCAACTCAACTGAGCCTGCTCCCTCTTCGATTGCCGACGAGACTGCTGCCCCTACTCTCGCACCCAGCGTCCCTTCTGGCAATGATACTCTTCCATCGGCTCCGGCTGTCCCCAGCACATTTGCCACCCTCCCCAGCCCACCTGCTGGCATTACAGCTCCCGCCGGTGCCGTCCCCACTGGCTCCGTAGGAACTGCTAAGCTCTACTACCAGTGCGGCGGTGTCAACTACAATGGTCCCACTGAATGCGAGGCCCCTGCCAAGTGCGTCAAGCAGAACGACTTCTACTCGCAGTGCATCAACTAGAGGAATTGGGATGGCTCAATGCGCATGAGGAGACGCAAGGTGGTGGTGAAAAAGAATTGTTGGTGTTCTTGTACATATACACTTACGTAGATGTTGATCTACAATTTTACTTTTGACATTATTGAATTCATATGCGTTCCGAGTGACAAATTGATGCGGCCCCGTTGTGCAACAGAAATAGCCAGGTTGGCTAGAGTTTGAAGCTGGAGGATGGGAAATAAGGAGGCGGTCGTGGCATAAGGTTGAAAGGGAGAAAAAGCAATGTCCTGGTAGCCTCTGATGCTGAGGTGGTCCCCTGAACCACAAAAGGAAGGCGCACCGCGTGGCCGCTTGCTCAACAGGAAGGAGCGAGGCGTTGTACGCATACTTACTTGCTGTACTAGTCTAATCGTCAATGCATGTATGTACATGTGTATGTGTATGTGCTCGTACTTGTAAAAGCAAAAGCCACGTCTACACAGCAAAGTACTAACGGCTGTCAAATACACATGTATGATAGCGTTTTATCGGTAGCGCGTCGTGTACCCGTGGCGTGCGTCAACGCCTGGTCAGCCTCGATTCGCAGACACAGCGGGAGGCCAGCCGATGGCTTTGTTTCAGGTTAACCGCAGTTGTACCACCCTGGCTGCCGTCTGAACAGCTGGCTTGAGGGGCGCATTGCATATGCAGACGAAAGCCGCACCTGTCAGCAAAATTCCCACAACCACACAGACTCGAGACGAACAGTCTTGATGCGGCGCCGAGTCGTCGAAAAACAACTTTCAGTGGTTGCTCCTTTTCGTGGCTTTCGCAAAGCCCTGGCCTTCTAGGCCGCCGTCGCCGCCGCCGGGGTTGCTCCACTATTGTCCGTTCACTACCCACGTACCCCCCCATCTTCACAATAACCATTCACACCACCCCCGAACCCCTCGACTTCTTCGTTGAAAACCACCAAAAATAACTAGCCCTTAATCCTTATTCTATACCCCTCACCCAAACAAAAACTAAAGAGTTGTCCTGCATCGACTGCACTTGCCCTTCAAGTTGCTGTTCGGCACCACCCAACAACCCACACCGCCCGCCCTCACAAACATACTAAACATGGCCGACAACAGGCCGACAAGCTCACACAGTTCCGACAAGGACGCGGTACGCACTGCATATTTCTCCCACCATGTCTTTGTTTTATTTAGCAAAGCCTTCAGCGTGCAAGCTTGCTAACCGTCATGCCGCAACAGGACAGTTTCGAGGACGCATCGGAAACTTCACCTCGCCCAGACTCGCCCTCTGGAAAATCACAGTCACGCTCGCGCTCATTACTTCAAAAAGAGACCCCCTCATCGACCGTACAAGAAGTCAAGACGGATCCGACTGCACGTGCAGCACCAGCAGCAGCCCCGAAAGATAGCAAAGACGACAGCGATGAGAGCGAAGAGGAGGATGAAAGTGATGGAAGTGACGAAAGCGACGAAACAGACGAGTCCGGCACAGGCAGCGAAGCTGAAGAACCGGAAAAGCCCATCAACGATGCACCTGTCAAAAAGCCGCCCCTACCCAACAGAGTGTCGGTAACGTCGGACATGGACGATGTGTCTTTGGATGGTGGTGCGTATTTCCTCTCCGTTTGAGACAAACAACACCATATAAAGATTGGAATGCCTGCATTTCAATTCCAGGAGCATCCACACCTCCTGACAGCACCTGCCAACTTGTGGCCTCCCCACGTGTCCCAGTACATGCTTCCCAATTCTGAGACTGACCCACTGCAGACGGTACAAAAGCTCCAGGCTCTGTGCCAAAAGCACCACTGCGAGACTCCCAAGACTCTACGGCTTCGATCCAAGGCCTCTCCGGAAGAATGTCTCCTGTCAAATTTCCTCCACCCCCCGCTCCGCCAGCCGCGCCAGCCGCTCCAACCGCTTCAACCGCGCCAGAAAAGCCACCAACTACGTCCAGAAAACTTACCGGTCCTTTCGCGTGGCTGTCAAGAAATAGCACCAGCAAGAAATCTGAGTCTCCGCCAGCATCCACAACAATGACGGAACGCAGAAACACAGGGGCTTCCATTGCGACCATCGGTAGCAATCCTGACCTCTCGTCGAGCAGGACCGAAGGTGAGGGCGAGACTGGTTCGAACAACCGAACGAGCCAAGGAAATCTTCGAGACCGTTTCAAGTTTTTGCGCATGAGGGAGGAAGCCGGCATAACGATGGGTGACGAAACCAGCCTGAACGGCAACCCAACTGCTGTGGTAACCAGGCCGACTAGTGTTGGTCTCATCAGTCCACCCATCGTTCCCGAAGACGAGCCAGGAAGTCCACCATCACTTACAAGACAACCTACTATCAATCCAAAGCTGGCCCCTGGAACTGCATCCGGATTTGCTGCTGGCCCAGCGGGAGATGCAGCTGAGCCTGTAGATTGGGATCTCTGGCAGTCTGTGGTCAATGAAGGACCAGCTGCCATCGCCCGCACCAGCGCAGAGGAACTCAATCATGCCATTGCAAATGGAATTCCCCAAGTCATCCGAGGTGTTATTTGGCAGGTGATGGCGCAAAGCAAGAACGAGGAGCTCGAGGTCACGTATCGGGAACTCGTAGCCCGTGGTACTGATAAGGAACACATGAGCCTTAGCACACCCAATCTTACCGGTGGACAGACAAACGGGAATGGGAAGGAGTCAGTTGCTTCCTCCTCCTCGTCAGTTCACTCAGACTACTCGAGCCCACCCACTACGACTGGGAGCACAAACGTAGCGCCGGCCTCGCCGCCACTCACCGCAGATAACTCCGAAGACCCCATCAAGGTACAGGCAAGAGTGGCTGCTGAAAAGAAGCAAAGCGCTGCCGCCATCTCGAAACTGGAAAAGGTTATCAAACGTGACTTGGGTGCGCGTACAAGCTACTCAAAGTACGTCATGGCGGCTGGTTTACAGGATGGCCTTTTCGGTATTTGCAAGGCTTACGCTTTGTACGACGATGCCGTTGGCTACGCCCAGGGCATGAACTTTATCGCCATGCCTCTACTATTCAACGTAGGTCCCAATTCATGTTTCCCTTGTTACATTACTGACTTTACAAGATGCCTGAAGAAGAGGCTTTCAGCCTTTTCGTAACGTTGATGAACAAATATGGCCTCCGGGACCTATTTGTACATGACATGCCTGGACTCCACTTGCATCTCTACCAGTTTGAACGCCTCCTGGAAGACTTTGAACCTGCTCTCTACTGCCATTTGCGCCGTCGGGATGTAAAGCCTCAGCTCTATGCCACGCAATGGTTCCTTACGCTGTTCGCATACCGTTTCCCGCTACAGCTAGTCCTACGTATTTACGACCTGATCCTCAGCGAAGGTCTCGAGTTGGCCATCCTGAAGTTTGGCATCGTCCTGATGCAGAAGAACGCCGAAACACTACTAGGCATGAAGGATATGGCAACACTCACAACCTTCCTGAAAGAGCGACTGTTTGACGTATACATTGACAAAGCCCCTTCTGCGAACTCAATTCTTGAGAACGGCTTCTTTGGTTCCACAGCAGGTATCGACAAGGAGATTTACCGCGCTGACACACTTGTAAAAGATGCTGTCGCTGTAAAGATTGCACCCGAGACACTGAAGCAGTACACTGCTGAATGGAAGGAGCAACGACGGATAGAAAAGGACCGTGAGACTGAGCTCGTAGGGCTCAAAGAAAAGGTTGCTTCTTTGGAGCAAAAGGTGCGGTCATTGGAACACCGAGCCGAACAATCGGACATGGAGCACGTTCAGGTTGCCTCTGAGCTCATCAAAACCAAGGTGGAGAACGAGAACTTGGAAGAAGAGAACGAGACACTGAAGACAAAGGTGCAAGAGCTCCAGAAGATTGTCGACACACAGCCTGCAGAGGTCGAAGCACGAC